TTGAACTAAAATTTGTTGTTGCTCCCTCAGAGTTTGTCATATCTCTTATAAACCCAAATGTGAATGTGTAGGTGGCGGGATGTTGCGAGTATGTACAAAAAGAATAGCACCATGAGACTCTGGTGTTGTTTGATGTGTGTGAATTTTGGGTTCTCCAATTGACTTTACAGGAGACGAGATTGGGTCAGCTAGAGGGGCAAGTAAACTATGTTCCTCGTCTATTAAATCAAAAAAAAGAATCAAGAACCTACAAAAACATTCATCATAAGAATTAAATAAGGTGGTCAAATACTAAACATAATTATGAACTTAAAATAGATATTAATATCATTCACCTGTACAGGACTTAGCTGCTTAAAGATTAAATGGATCTTTGGAGGGTTCCACCCTGTATTTATTGGCCATCTCAACATACGAGGTCTGGTGTTAGGATGAGCCGGGGCTATCACAAGTGTGCGCTCATAAAACCATAGCTGCATAAACACGATTAATAAATCTGAAATTCATATAACCCAAATAAGATGAAAAAAAAAAATTTGATTGAGGTTGAGCAATATACTAACCGTTAGAAGAAAAACAAACCCGTTCATGTATCCCAATGACTGACCCATCCTTATTTTCATGGGGCAAGCATTAAACTGCTCAATTAGGTGGTCACATACTGTTGCGGCCCAATTAAATGAAGAAAAATTATCTATATTCTCAATAAATGAATAGAGTCATGTGGGTACACTAAAATTGCTAGAAGGAAATAATAAATTAGACAACAAAAATTTAATAATAAGTTCATCAATACTAACAAATGAACTCTCCAATAGTTCACTCTTTGCCCACCTTGCATCTACGTCATTGATTGGTTTTTTAGCCCAAGCTGTTGTAGGACCTCTGTTGGGCATGTCAATCAACAAAGCAACTTGGTTTGCATCAATTGCATCAAATTGGTTTGCATCAAAACTCAGCTCTTTCCCCCCTAATCTGAAAGCTAATCTATTCATATCCCAACAATTCAATATGTGCATAATTCGGATGTGATCTTGAGGATAGGGGGCAAATCAAAAAACTGATTAAGCTTCATTTTTTTCCAGAGTTGACCATGTTTCCCGATCAACAAATGGCCGAACCTTATCCAACACCTCTCTAACTGCTGATAGTCGGCATCTACAATTCATTGACTGTTTATTCATCAACCTATAGGAATAAGATGCATGTTATTAATACTGTTATTAATATTGGAATAACCGAAGAATGTTTATTCATCAATATACAGGAATAAGATGCATGTTATTAATATTGTTATTAATATTGTTATTAATACTGTTATTAACACTGAAATACCCTAAAACTACATCAACAATAACATACGAATAACCTACGTAGAACATAAAAATTAACAAAACAATACCTTAAAAATAACCCAAGAATAACCTATGCATAACCTAAAAAATACCCTAGGAATAACCTAAGAATAACCTGTGCATAAACCTGCAAATAACTTAAAAATAACCAGGAATAACCTACGAATAACCTACGAATAACCTATGATAACTAAAAAATAATCTACAAATAACTCAGGAATAAACCACGCATTACTTCAAAATTAACAAAACAATGCCCTTAAAATAACCCGGGAATAACTCACGCGGGAATAACAACCCGGGAATAACTCACGCATTACTTCAAAATTAACAAAGCAATACCCTGAAAATAACCCAGGAATAACCTACGAACAACCTGCGCATAACTTATAAATCAGCTACAAATAACTCAGGAATAACCTAAAGATAACTTAAAAATATCCTCAAAATCAGCCAGCAATAACCTAGTAATAACCTACTCATAACTTAAAAATTAACAAAATAATACCTTAAAAATAACCTAGGAATAACCAAAGAATAATCAACTCATAACTTAAAAATAACCTACAAATAACTCAGGAATATCCTACGCATTACTTCAAAATTAACAAAACAATACATTAAAAATAACGTACAAATAACCTACGAATAAACTGACATAACCTAAAAATATCCTAGGAATAACCTATGAATAACCTGCACATAAACCTGCAAATAATTTAAAAATAACCCAGGAAAAACCTACGAATAACCTACGCATAAATTAAAAATCACCTGCAAGTACCTTAAAAATAACTAGGAATAACCTGAGAATAGACTAAAAATAACCCACGAGTTAACTTAAAAATAACCCAAGAATAAACTATGAATAACTTGAAAGATAACCTACAAATAACCTAAAAATAACCCAAGTTTAACCAGAGAATAAGATACGCCTAACTTACAAATAACCTACGAATAATTTAAATATAACACATGACTACGAATAACTTGAAAGATAACCTACAAATAACCTAAAAATAACCCAAGTTTAACCAGAGAATAAGATACGCCTAACTTACAAATAACCTACGAATAATTTAAATATAACACATGAATAACATGGAATAACTGTCAATAAGTACTGCACTTCGGAGTAACTCAAGAATAACCCAATAATAATCAAACTAATAACCTAAAGATAACCTGAGAATAAAACGATGACAATTACCAGGACAAGTTTTCCCCTTCAATGCCCTCCTTCATCCTCTTCGCCTCATTCTTCTTCCTCTGCTTCTTTGACTTCATTGGCTGCTCAACCTCTGTCTTCTCAGCCTCTTCTAATACTGTTCTTGAGCTCTCTTCGGTCTGCGCATACTCTGGATCATCAAACGTCATCGTCTCACGGTTTCGAAGCTATCGAACGAGTGAAATGTGAAACCCTAGCAGAGCGAGCAACAAAACCGTAGGAGAAAAATCACCGGAGAGTATTTTCGAAACGTCTTCCTCGGCAT